AATTTTTGGGATAACGATTTCTTAGAAAAGATTATTCAGATAGACGACTTTTTAGTTCAATAATGTTTTAAATATTTTGGTATGTGAAAAATTTATTGTTTATTGTTTATTTATGGTCGATGCTCTTTTCTGTTCCTCTGTTAGGCGAATTTTTCATTTTGTGATTCAATCATTTCGTACAGATGATCAAAAATATGTCCCCTAATTTTTACACTCACCGTATACATATTAAGAATGTGTGGATAAAGTAAAAAAAAAAAACAGATTGACCCAATATGAAGAAAATTTTAGAACATTTAGTACAGTATAATTACTGATTATATTAGTATAAAAAAAAAACATTTAATGTTCCAGGAATTTTTTTGTATTTGCTAAATTTTTTTTAATTTTATCTACGTGTTCTGAACATATGTATCTTGATTTAGATGTTGTATTATAGTGATAATTTCGAAATTTAAAAATTCGAGTACAAATTAATATTCCATTCGCTTAATATTCAAAATTTGAAATCTTTTCGAATACTTTCGCAAGGGACTGTACGCTAGAGATACCCTCTTTTTATCTTGGGGAATTATCCAACGATATTGTACGAATAAGTTTTCATTGATAAATTGGAAAATGCCGTTTTTAAATATGTGACGTAAAAGATAAAGCAACACGTTGCTTCATTCACACAGAATCCTTATGTTCATTATGATAGATACTTTATCTCTATAATTAGCGTTGTAATTATGCACGTGTAGGATCAATGCTGGTAGTCGTGAAATAATAAACGTGAATTTTTTATCGCATCGATCGTTTTTAAAAAAAGACCGTGTGACGAGATGACAAACTTATCACGAGAAATCGTTAAGAGTATAAAGTGCAAAAGAATGAACTTCGTATCGTTGAAATAATTCAAATAAAATTTGGACGAAATATATTTAAAATAAAAATTTGTTTATCGCCATTTTTCATTTTCTTTCTATTTATTTCTTCGAATAAAGATACCCCTTTTTTAGCGTCGTGAATTACGAGTCACCGTGTATAAATGTCGAAACAGTATTACTAACGACGATGCTCGAGCGATTTAAATGCTACGGTAAAAATACAACAGCCAGAATCGAAGCATTAACCTTTAAGTACCGCGGACTTCAGATTACGCACGACCCATCGAATGTTAGGCACGTGCTGATACAGACTTAATCTCAATAAAGCAACAAAGTCTGACAATAGTATATGCACTGTGTATTATACAGTAAATGGCGCTTAAGATCCGATTTCGAAGAAAACCCGAAAGAAATAGCACACTTGTAATAAAATTAAATCGAAACTATACGATCATGGGGATGATAAGACGTGAACGAGTGTCGGAGAATAATACGATGCTCGTGCCGTATAATTTGCCCGTTCGCCGAGCGAGCGTAAACATGAAAATGTGGGAACAGAGGGGAAGGGTGAAAGAGGAAATCGTGCACAGCGTTTCATACGCCATTCATAATGCGTTCTGCCACCTGCGCTACGTCGCGAGGGTACCGTATGATCCCGTAGTTCGACCTCCGCGTGAGGTTATGTAATTCGAACGGGTACGCTAACCTCTTCCTTTCGCGCGACGAACGGAAAGTAGCCGCTCAGATTAGGCTAGGTTACGTGGCCGAGCGGAACAATTAGAAACTGTTGCTTCGTCGAAGGCACGAGGAACGCATAACGGGGTCGATAGTCTCGTTCGACAAATTATAAAGGGCTTGATAAATTCAAATTGCAACACCGTTAGCAATAGAACGTACTCGAAAATGCCAATATTGTAACGCTCCTTATCGTCAATCTCGATGCAATCCGTGATTGTTAGCGACATTAACGACGTCACAATGATAACAGTACTATCGTATTTCCAGCGAGATTCAGACCATTCGAGGTATAACACACGATACAGAGTTTTGCATAACCGTGTGATTCACGGAAATATTTGATTTCAAGATACACGAATGTAAACAGAAAAGATAATCAATATGTCGAATACGACGAGAAGTCATTTTTCCTCGGGTACCGTACGATATTGATTAGCGATGAGTATAAAAGAGTGCTTCCATGAGATCCCTGAGTTCCATTAAATTCCTCGCTCGGTCGTTCGATCTAATTCACCTTGTCTCTCTGATATTACGAGAAGCTGCATTTTTGTTGACAAATGAGGGGTGAACGGTCAAAAGGTCTCAAACATCCTAAGACACTTTATCTGAGAAACTAGTAGCTACGAGACACGAATCAATGTTTAACGGATCTTATAGATTTTGTCGAGCGAAGGAAAATTTCGTTTTGTTTACGGAATGTACACAATGAGAAAGGAGAAAGAGCGCGTGCGCTCTGACAGGGAAAATCTAGATTTTTGCCAGGTTGCCGTACACGGAGACAGATATAATACGTTTATTGAAAATTTTCTTACCAGTTGTGCCGAACTGATCGAGTTGGTGAGCACCAGAATTTACTCCCGCACCTCCCACACCGTGCAGATCCTGCCACATTTCCGAAAACACGCACTTTTCGGACACACGCACGCACAGAATCATCCACCTTCACTCAAGCGGCGCCATTTTCACTGTGTACTGACTGTTCTGTACTTAACCGACGTAAGCGCCCTCCTCGATATCGTAGATCAATTCAGAACTAATGACATTTCATCGTCTTTATTTGTTTATCGACGTTTGCATAACTAAAATTTGTAAAGATAATCAATACAAAAATAGTTAAAATTATCTTACGTATTTATAAAAAGAATTGTTTTATTTTACAACAAACATGTCATTACGTATCTGCTTTTGCAATACTGTTAGCCATATTGAATTTGCAGACAAAAAATAAAACAACTTAAATGTTTAATAATTTAGAAGGTCAATAAAATTATAATTTATAATAACAAAATGTTTCAGATAAACAGTAAAATAAATTTATCACATAATGCGTTTTTTATGCCAGAGCGACTCCAATAATATTTTAACACCCATTCTAACGTTATCGACTGAACATAGAATAAGATCGCAGCATTAGTTGTGATTAGACCTAAAACTAAATTTAACTATGAAATTATAAATAAGGTATAAACAAAGATGAGATATAGAATAGAGGCAACATTATATTTATTTATTCAGTCCGATTTTCTGAGACCTCTAGAGCTCCGTTACCACTTTCGTATCACATGTGATGTTATCGATTTAGTATTAAGGACGACTACAGCGCCAATTGAACGGTAACTTAAATAACTATTTAAGCTTGCATTTTGCCTCTATTTGTTTATCGATAAATGATAAATAAAATCACGATTTTATCTGTCTCTATTACCCATTGTCGTTGCACCTACCACAAATCATATAAACATTAAAATAATTGTTTAAAATGTTACATTGATATTAAATAAAGCTGTATTTAAAAAGTGATAATAAAACATTTATATGTAGTAATAAAATTGATTACTTATTCTTTTTATTAACTGATACCTATTATAAATTACAAGTATTTATATTTATATAACTAATATACATAATGCATCACATTTCGTCACATATTAATTTTTCAATACGTTTTTTACAATTGCAGTTAAATACCATAAAATAATATTATGTCTTTGAAACTCTAGGCGGTAATTCTTCGTATTTTTTCTGCTAAGAATATGCAATTACGCTATTAACCAGTACACAGAGCGCGAATAACGTTTGTGAAAATTATATAACTAAACTAAGGACAAATTACAAAAATAGGGAAAATTATTGTGTGTTTATATTATGACAAATGTCCTTCAAATTATAAGAATAGTCTTCATAATATTTTTCAATTGTTAATTTACGTGTAATTATACATAATCTACAGACAATAATAAAAACCGTTTGATACTTCCTTGAATCGACTATGTAATATAGCAAATGCAATACAGATTTAAGATCTTCATATGACTACGTTTCGTCTCACCTGTAAAATATTATTTCTGAAAGAAAATTTAAATTCAAACTCGATAAAGTCGCAAAATAATAAAAATACATTTTAATTTTGCATTAATATAAAAAATTTAAGGCAGATTTAAGATTGAAATATCTGATGTTATTCAACAACAGTTAAAGAATAATATTATTACTTTACATATTGAAATATTATTTTGGTATATCATTCTCAAAAGTCATCAATAATATAAGAAGCAGCAATGCTGAGCGACTGGATTATAAACTTTTAAAAGATTCACGTTTTGCAGTAAATAATGATTCAGATAATATCTCTATGAAAGTGAATAGCTTGTAATGCATGTTCTGCTTTAACAACGCATGCGCCTGAACATTTCTTTCGACCACGTACAGGCGACGGACGTGCACATTAAATTGGGGGTACACATTAAACGTTTATAAATTTATCTGTCGAGAAAATTACTTACGTTCTAAATGTTCGTTATATAAGTGAATACTAGTTGCTATCTCTCCACGAAATTACAAAGGGAAACGGAAGAAAAACATTCGACGACGAATATTTACTAGTGGACATTGTGAAAACTTCTTAAGCTGTATAAATACCAAGTTATCGTATTGTTTGACAAAAGTGGTGATTTAATTCGTACAAGTATTTCTTTTCGACACAAACCAAAAGGAATGCCTCTCAGTTGACCGTGTAATCGATAATAGTGCATTATTAAAATGTATCGTCAGGCATAGAACTGGCGACTTGATAGTGTTTTTGTGACTAAACTTTGACACCAAGCACATGGTTGGTTCGAACGATATAATGCGTTCGTAAAATTATTCGATCTGCACACATAATCGTTACGATTTATGAAGCAATAAATTTCGACATGTAAAAGAAAATAAAGTACTCCTGTCGAATCAATTAGTGACATAAGGTGTTAATTTGAAGTGAGTTTTTCCATTTTTTGACATTACCGACAGTAATTATCGAAAGGTTAAAATTCTAGTAAACGTTCGAAATATTAAACAGAATTTGATAATAGTAAATTCGTAAGAAGGTGATACCCAACGAACCAACTTAAAATTCAATGTTAATCGATAATATTTTTCGTTTTACTACTCGGTTTTTAACTATTTGCAATTAACAACTAAAGATAGTTCTGAGTGCCTGCAACTTTATCACATCATTTATCATTAATTGAGGCTTAATTCAATAATTTTCGAGCGAGTTATATCGTTTGAACCAGCTATTTGAGCTTGAGAGATAACATTGCGTCTCACGTAAAAAGTGCCGCCCTCTCGGTATCCCCTAGGGTAGGTCAGGGACCAATGAGTGCGCAGTGCAGATTCTATTGTAAATGTGACGTGTACATTCGTATGCTATGCAAATCGTACGTAAGTACATGTTTCCCTTAATATCCTTTTCTAATTTCTGTGTGAATAGCAGTAATTGCAAAATTAAATATTTTTCTCTTTCATATAAATGCAATGTTTCCACGAAAATATCGCTTTAGATAAAGTTCACATAAAAGATAATTTTATAGAAATCAATTTGACCTATTAGAATGTGATTAAATATTACTCAGTATATACTATATATAACGTGGTTTATCGGTAATGTAAATAGCGGTCCTCTGAAGAAATTCAATTTTATATTTCAGCTGAGAGTACAATTTATCCTAAAAATTCAAACCATAGAAATAATCTCTTATTTGAATTGCCTTAAATACTCTCTACCGTGTCTTTCTAAATATGAGAACAAGTGGAATGTTTGCATAAATGTACAGGTATTGTTTCTCCTAGTTTAGATACAATAACATTAGATTATCTCGTCAAATTATTATTAACTGTACACAGCATCCAATATTGACAATCATATTTAAAAATTGTGTACGTTTGGAAGAAGCAAAATTTGAACGTTGATACAACTATAACTGGTATGCTTACTGGAATCAGAAATTATTCAAGAAAAATGAAGAAGAGGTTACTCCTCTACTTCCTTTGCGCTCTCACGCTCTTCATTCTGATGATTTCCATCGACAACGATTTCATTTACCACACGTGTCAATATGCGAACATCTGCGAGATGGATGACATCACGTGCTATGAAGAAACAAGCGCGTCAAATGGTCTTCCGGACTTTGATCCGGAATTAGGTATGTTTGTCGAATTCGACTAACTTTATTTAATCACGATCATTCCCTAAAATTAAAATTCTTACATCGGTCTACATATAATGTATTAGATATCCCATGGACCCTTAACCTAAAAAAGTACAAGGTACTAGAAACAAATTATTTAGTAACTTCATGGCTGAAATTATTTAATTTCTATTTAAAAGGAGGAATATTTGGTCAATCGACAGAAGTACGAAGGAAGTATACTTGCGTTTATACTAAACGGTCTAAATGACTGTTTTTTAGTGATTTTAATTTTTCATTAAAAATTCCGCAGTCAATTCCGAAGTCATGTGAAAACTATCAGACAAATGCCAGTTATACCACATTGGTATTATCTGCAAATTATGAGTAAGCCCTATCAACACCAAACAAAAGAATTCCGATTAGACGTGCGGATGGCATAGTGTTTATTTTTCTGAAGGCTCTACTTCTTTTAAGTTTTCATCTACAGATTGTTTGACTAACCGTCGTAGGCTTAGCCACGAAGCACATCATCAATTTGGTCACGATTCGCTCTTGGTTCGGTCAAATATCGTTTGAAATTATTGAAATTCTTTGCACACATGTTTGCACTCTGTGTGCACGTTTAAAATTGGAAAAATTGTTGCTCGATTTTAATCTTTCGTAAACTATCGTCGGCAATGACTAGCAGTAAAAGAACTGATTCCAAATAGGTATCTAACACTGACTCATTCTTAAACGCTTTACTTCCCGTTAAATATCTCATATTACTGGTTTAGAAGTCAAGATGTTTGTATTCCTAAACTCTATTGAGTTTACGAACTCGCTACATCGCTGACACCTACCACAACACTTTCCTGCCTTTATCTTCGACTAAATTTTATCGAATATGTCTTGCCTTCGTTCCTTCAACGCCACATACATATAGGGTGTCCCAAACTTCACGCAAAATTTAAATTTTGTACTATTTGTGCGGTAAAGCGCTGTCAGCGAAAAGAAAAGATAGCTTGACAGCTGACAGTTCAGGGTTATTGAAAATGTAGCGCTATACGAAAGAACAACGTGTCTTCATTCTCGAGTAATATTTCCAACTTCTAATTAAAAACCTGTGTTTTTTATCAAAATTATTTCTTACGTGAATTTTGGGGCACTCTTTATTCCTAATACAAAATAATAGCTGTTGCAGAGATATGGGAAATTTGAGATATAAGTCGACATTGATAGAGTGGATTCGTAATCAATAGGGATTACAAACGAATTCTTCATAATATTTTGTCCGACCTTTCTACACGGAGAATAAATCTGACGATGGCTTACGTCCTTTTACTAACGTAAGCTATTTCAAATAAGGTTTTATAGGTTTTTATTATCTTCATTGTTGAGCAATATTTATAATTTTGAATTAAAAATCCAGGTTTTCTATCAAAATTACTACTTGCGTGAATTTTCGGACACGCAATATAAACAGGAGTCTTTAAAGAAAACATCAACGGTTTGAATTCTAATTACATTTCGTACGTAAAATGTGGACATTCGTACTATTTTTTAATGAAACGTCGTAGCAGGAAATATTCGCAGTATACATAGTTACCTTGATTTGAGATCCTCGACGACACGTGGGAACAATGCCAACGATTGGTTACAATGTACATATACAATAGATCCATCATTTCTCATATAATTCTGGATATAGAATACACTAATTTTCTTTATTCATCGAAAGTATCACAAATCGGATAATACCGCATCGCGTGATGCGAAGAATGCGAATAAAATGCATATGCATACAAGGTGATTTGCGCAGTTTACGCACTCGAATAATTTTTGAAGCGTGCGTTGCACGACAAAGTTCTTCATACGAAAGTTGCATGATTTTAATGAACACGTTATGTACTTTGTTTATTTCTTTATCAGTGTAGGAGTTTTGGAAATTTTTATTTCAAAATATGGAACCCTGAATAAGAAAAGGTTGACGTTTATTAACTCTGAATCTAATAGTCTCTGTATACAGTCTATAGTCTGTATATAATCTGTAATAGTCTATGGTAATTATTATAAATGTCCTTATACTCCCTAATTGACTGTCGTTGTCCCCTTGCTGTGGAACGAAGCTCATTCTATCTCACAGCAATTTAGCTCTGAGAAACGAAGCTATACACGTGACGAAATTGACAATCGACGAATAATTGCATATATATATACTTATCTATATTGCATATAATTGCATATATACCACTTAATCTCATCGAAGTATCTAATCTCTACCACGAAAAGAATTCATTCGTCTCTAGATAAAAATGGCGAACTCCAAACTGTTTCGAATTGGAGAAACAACGTTGTACCACGTTGAAATATCAATGTTACCACATATTTCCTCAGGACAGCGGTATGTCCGTAATAACGTTTGTTATATTTACTTCGTTTCCGATAATATGAAAGGCACTTGAAATAATATCCACAGATATCAATACGATGTAATCAATCGATCAATCTGAGAAAACTACATTTTGAATCATATCCACACTGAATGGAATGCATGCCTCTCGAGTTCGGTGTTTCATATTCTCAAGTGTTGTTGGTAGTTCACGATGTACCGTGTTTTGTACCCAACAAAGCATAGTCTCATGTCGTGATTCACCTTCGTTGATCCTAATTATAATAGAAATACATTTCCAATCCGGTGCACGTATCTACGCATGTCGAACGTTGCTGTAATTCTATTTTAATTACATTTATTATTGTCGAGCTTACATACATCGAATTTATACGCGACAAGCTTACAACTTAACGCATTCGCGTTATGTTAAACGTTTCAGTCCCAGAGGGTTTGGAAAAAACACTGTCGAAATATCCCAAGCAGCGCAACCGCGCTGCCTCTAAGTGGGTACGACAAGACCCAAGCAGCGCGCCAGCGCTTCTATTTTATGTCGAGAAGATCCAAGCATAACAATGAAATACAAAATATTTTATTTTGTAATATATTATTGAACTACTATTATAGTATTGTACCTATTGTAAAATGTATTATTCACATTAACCCATTTGCATCATGGCTAGTGCATAATTTTGGATCGGGATTGACTGGAATAATTGGTTCTTGGGTTACTCTTAGTCCTCCGCTTTTTTCTTCGTCTTTCCTCTCCTTTTTATTTTGCAATTTTCGCTATGGGGAGTGTGTGTGAGTCGTTTAGGGGTTAAATGGTGATTTTGATTTGGGAGTTTCTAAAATTTTATTTTTTTGAAATGATCTATTACCTACTCATAATGGCAGTTAAAAGGATTTTCATAACAAAAGTAAAACTTGTTAAGAATATAATGAATCGATGTAGATGAGATCCTCACAAAAGGGATCAAACGTGATCTGTGGTATATGAAGAATATTCAGCAACTGGTAATGGAAAAAGTCAGCTCGCGGATTATTCCGCGCTCGGTGATAGGCAACAGTCGTGGCTCGCGGAATATTCCGCGCTCGGTGATATGCGACAGTCGTGGCTCACGGAATATTCCGCGTTTGGATGCAAATGGGTCAAAAGAAGAAGCTGTGTGATGTATTTGCGTCAGTAAATCTGAGCGCGCGATTACGACAGTCGGTGACAGCTGTCGAGGACGCTCGAAATGGGCTGGGTTTTCTCGACATGAAATCTGAACAACCCACTCCCGCCGCTTGGGACACAAACGGTTAAACTGTAATTGAATCAGCACATAATAGAATAGAATAATTCATATGATGCGCAATTCTACCAGCCTTGAGATCGTGTTAAAATTTATAGGCGTACTCTTATACTTGCGAAGTTGGCATTGTTTAGTCATCAGTTCTTCCAGCAAGATGATTAATATTCTGCAAAACACATATGTGCGTAAGATATCAGCACGTTCAGGATTTAACGTAAATTTTTAATTGGAGCTTCCTCTGCTTTCCTTTATTTGTCAAATTATCGAAAGGAGAAGAATATCCGTTTGAGTTTCCAGCGATATACCTGGCCATTTTCTCTGCCTTTCTTTTTGACGCAAATTAAAGTCTGTATGATTTAGAGTTATGTCACGTGTTGCGTATACTCTACAAAAATCTAAGCTGTCGTGACACTCCTACTCTTGCTATCGGAGAGGAATTTATCACGAGATAAAGTTTGTTTCCTAGCACCGCATCGTTTTGTGTCTTAAATTTTGCTATACTTAACTATACTTCGTTTATTTTAACGAATAACAGACAAACCAATGACGGATAGAAATATATTCTTCCACGAGACATCGTGTTTCAACGAATACGATTTGGCACTGAATGCTCGCCAAGCGTGTGCCGTGGAATCCGCGGCTAAGATGAATCCAAACATGAACGTGTACCTGCTATCCGTCTCCGTCGCCAAGATCTCGAACCAATCGAGGAAGATCTTCAATCTGCTGCAAACATATCCGAATGTTCGAATCAGACATATCAATCCTGAGAGATACATAAAGGACACACCGTTGGATCAGTGGTATAGAAGCGGCGTACTGAAAAGAAGCTACTGGCCTCGGAGTCATATGTCGGATATTCTCAGATACCTCACACTCTGGAAATATGCAGGAATATACCTAGATCTGGACGTTGTTGTCACCACGTAAGCGCATTTTCCGTCGTCTTATTACTCATTCTTATTTACCCTGCTATTACTCTCGTTTACTTCCAAGCTTTTATGCGGATCACATTTGTAGGATGGCGAAAACTGGCTTTGAGGCATCAAAAATTGACAGAACAACGAGAACAGAATAACGCAAACATAAAACTCATTAAGCTAATTTAACGACTTGCGCTATAAAGACGTGCCACGCACGTCGAGATGCTTTTGTTCCAAAGTCGCCAGCAACGTGTATACCACGTCGATAGGCATTTGTCGCAGAAACAAAAACAACGTGTCCGTCACGTCGGCTAACAGCTCGCAGACGCGGTGCGGCGTTAATGTAACAATGTGATTGCGTTAATGTGACAACCGAAAATTAACCCTTTGTACTCGACGATGTTTTCGTTACAGAAAAATAGTAATTCGGAGATTTTCTGTCATAAAGTCGAGGATATTTTTAACCGTTTGAGTGCCACGGGTCATTATTGTTTCCCAATCGATATTTGCCAAGCGGCGCGATAGCGCTTGTCATATTCCGTGTCCAAAAATGCCGAGCGGCGCGATAGCGCTTCTCATATTCCGCGTTCACCAACCGAGCGCGCTGATTGTCAGCTTCGCAGCTCAGAGCGCTGGCACTTTTGGACACAAAATAGAAGCGCGATCGCGCCGCTTGGCACTCAAACGGTTAAAATAGCGCGTCTTTGTAATGCAAATTAAGACGTAGAATTATTTTACTTCGACATTGCACGCATCGTTAGGTAATTTTGAATTTCATATATTAATTAATATCGATCTTTAGAATTTAATTAAATGGTGACTGAGAGGCGCCTCTCGAGTGCAAGGGGTTAAATCGTAGCGCAAGTGGTTAACTTAGGAAAAGAACACCAAGATAACGCAAGGAAGACACACAAAGACGCACTCTAATTTAACTCTCTTTCCAACACCGAGCAACTCACGCTCGTGCCGGTCACAATTAATTTCTAAGGACTCTGTTTTGGTCATCAAGGACCCTGCTTTTATGCTTTCCTTAACCACTTGCGGTGGCAAGAAATTCACAAACGCGTGTGCCAGGGCGGTCCAGTATTTCTGTAACAATTGCCTAACGACGTGTATACCACGTCGTTGGCGATTCTGTGACGACAAAAGTATTACAACGTGCGTGACACGTCTTTCCAGCGCAAGTGGTTAACCTACGCTTCACCTGCTCGTAGAGACCACGCAACTTAATATTGATCGATTTATAATTTGACTTTGTTGGCAATGGCCGATTCGCGATTTCTTTCGAAATGGTATCCTGCATATCGTACAACGAGAATGAAACGTCTATTTATTACACACACGGTGTTCATTTGAAGATCTGAAATCCAAGTATCCCGAAAATAAGATAGTTTCGGGAAAAATATTATATTTTACCGGGTGGCCCAGCAAGGATAGTACAAGAAAGGGGAAGGGAAGGAGGTGATTCTACATGCAGAAACGAATCGAAAATTAAGAATAAAGTCTTTTGATTCGAAGCTTCGTTTCCGAGAAAATCGACTTTGAATATTCACCGAGTGCACTTAGCTATAGCTTATATAAATAGATCGATAAATTAGTATCGGTGGTACAACCATGGATAGGGTGATTCTACGTGAAAATAACAAGTGGAAAATGAAAAATAATATTTTTTTACATTAAAATGACACCGTTGATACCGCTGCAAGCAGTAATAAATACGAATTTCAGTCTAGCTCATCAACTACCTATTGATAATTACTAAATATAATTACCCACCTACTACCAATTGATAATTACTAAATTGTCCGTCACTGCTTAAAAACCTAGATCGTAAAATCTTTTTAATCCCCCGTTAACATAAGACTATTTTATTCCGTTGAATTTATGCAAAACCGTATGTATTAAAATTATTAGGACCATAATTTAGGCACCACCTTACTGTAATAATTTTCTTGTAATTTTTCTAACGTGTTAATCCCGTATAAATAAATAAATAAGTAATCATTTGAGTCGCTGTTTTAAAAATCGAAATTTGAAATGACAGGAGAAAAATCAAGAAAATCACGAATGCTTGGACGTATTCGTGGTGCTCTGATAAATTTCATGATACTATTGCGAATATATACACGTATATTGGTATAATAAATATTGAAATATTTTTTGCGACAGATCTCTGGAACATTTGACAAATTTTGCCGGAGCTGAAGACTGGAATCAGGTAGCCGCTGGTGTTATAGGATTCGATGCTACAGCGTTCGGTCGTCGCATTGCCAATGCCTGTATTCGCGATATAAGAGCGAATTTCCGTGGTGATATCTGGGGTAACAATGGTCCTGGTGTAATCACCAGAATGTTGCAAAAAATTTGTTCAACGAAATACGTGAGTACAAGCTTAATACTAATTATTCGTTGAAAAGATTGATATTTATTGATTTTTAATAAATTACGTGGACGAAATACCATTATACCGGTGATTATATCTGGTAAGACATATATTTGATTATCTGATTAAGTAACTCAAGTTGACTGAATGTGATAACAACGAAGAAATATTAATAGCTTTTCTGATGCCTTTCATGCTGGTCAACTAGCTCCATTGTCAGGGTAAAACACAATATGGGTCTAATACAAACTTTACTTCTCGAAGAAATGAAATTTTGAAGTCTCTTTTAATCTTAAATTCCGATAATGTAGTACATAGCATAAATCATTTTCAAGCTTGTAATGTAAGAAGACTTAACTGTGATATTCGAGAAACGATTAAAGAAATACCTATCGAAGATCATACGATCTGAACTTATAAACCGGATAATAAATATGCCTGCTGAAAAAGGATGTGGCAAATTGGACACAGTTCGAAATCTAACGAAGTTCGAATCGTTTGTCGATGAGATATCGAAGACGTAAGAAAGCAGAGGAGTATGTAAAAATGTTTGTACTTTCCTCAGGTTCGAAGCATGACCGCAACTCGGTGTCATGGTTTTAAAGTTTTCCCTCCTTCGGCCTTTTATCCAGTCCATTACTATCAATGGAAAGTGTACTTCGAGACAAAGGACAAGAATGCAACGATGAAGATGCTAGAAAAGGCGATGGCCATTCACGTATGGAATAAGTTGAGCAAATACGAAAAGGTGTTCGTAAATAGCGACGTGCCATACGTGGTGATCGCGAGAAAACACTGTCCAAAGATTTTCAATAATTGCGAAGAAGTATTTTAAGGTACAATTAGTGATCTTAGAGAAGACAAAGTGAAATAAGGGCACAATAGAAATACTACATTATGCTATGCATATCTTTTTTACAAGCTTTACCGTGGAAGTTTCTACACTGCATCACAGATGTTTCTTCAGTGTTGCGTAGATTAATTTATGTATACATGTGTACATGTATTGTGTAATTAGGTATATTCAATACATATCTTTCTGGCTGTTTTGCGAAATATTAGCCTATAGAAACGATTTAGTGGAGCTAAATTGATAACCATACGAGCTGGAGGCTTTGTTGAAAAACAAACGATAGTGACAATATCGAAGGAAAGAAATAAATGAAAGCAAGTTGCAATAGAATTGGCAGGAAATATGTATAAACAGCATGAACGGCGTGTAATCAGGACAGGGCCGGAACGTAATATCCAGGCCCCTGCACGTCGATCACGTGAACTTTTTGTTCCTATTTATTTAGCTTATTGTTAGTTCAGGCGATACCAGGAAATATTACTTAAACATTTCAACTTTCGAAGCATGCGACGATATCGATTTCACGAAATAGTTTGCGAAACGTTCAAATTCTTCTAAACATTAGCAATGTTAAACAGAACTCAATGGTACTAAATTGGTTGTAAATAGTATTTGATAAACTAAATTAAAATAGATAATTAATCAACCGTCCTTTGTTTATTTTACGACGTGATCTCGGTATCAACGGTAATAAATTAGGCGAAAATAATTCCTCTTTTTGGCAGATTTTTTAAATCAGGTGTTCCATGTTACGAACACCTTCTCTATATGTGTGATATCGATAACAATGGTTACAACTAATGACAAATGTGAGACCGGTCCTATGTATTTACACAATATTATTAATTAAATAGTATCAAATATATAGGTCTTTGGATTTTGTCTATTAAGTATCTTTTAGGTATCTGGCAAGTTACTTATTACGATTACTAACGAAGAATTTGTATGTACCTCGTGTAATCCCCACAGTGGTGATTCGAATGCATTGCAATGATCCAACCCAATGACCATTGCAAGGGCGATGAATCGTCATTCTAGATGACGACCAAGATATTTATATTTTAACGAATTAGTTCGCGAGCTTTATTTAATCTACGCGACTTAAAAATAATTTTGATCCTATTAGACCAGAAATTTTAAAAGCGATATTAAAGGTCAAACCTGCATAGATCCTTAAGTATTACGAATTTAGTTCTGTCCATGATGCGTGATGATAATAAATCAGTGATATGTGATACAATCAGGTATGTCGCTTCGGGTGTGTTTCGTATATTCGTCAGATCGTTATAATATTGCTCAAGAGTGTTCTACACAATTAAATAAATAGTTGGCAACGGTGGTTTCTAACGATTCCACTTTTTCAGCGGCCGGACTCGTTAGACATAATTGTAGGTTGTACGTAATTAAGTTTCCGAACATCACAGAAGTTCTAATTCTCGTGTATCAAAGACTGATAAAAGCCGCTGAATTTGAAGAGGTACTAAGAGTATCTTGACACGCATGGATGCGACCATGTGAGGCGATTATACGAACACAAATTTGTTTACGGAAATAGAAATGTATGAAACGTATCTTACAAATCTGTTTTATCTACTTAACATTGTTTCTTAATTATTACGTTAAGTTATGTATTTTATACTTATAGTCGGAATGCTAGAGTTAGTATGTAATAAGCGAAGCGTATCTGAATTAATGTCACAGAGATGCGAATAAAAAGAATTTAAGTCAGAGTATTAAGGATGCGAGAGTAGAGTGTTTGGACCAGGTATACGATATTATAGCCTGAATGAAAATTTGCACAGCGACCTAAAAACTTTCGACTGGATGTAGGTGAATGTTCCCTAAAAACGACTGCGTGAACTAAAGACAACAGTGATAGCGAAAGAGAAAACGTGTGTATAAAAATACCAAAGAAATTACTGAACGAAAATCAAAAATGAAAATAGAGACAAGAGTTCAGGAAATAAAAGTTAAAAGAAAAGAGTACAATGTAGGTTTAAAGTGTAGTGTATAGTTTTATAGTTGTTATCGAATTGTTTATAGTTGTCGTCGGATATTTGTATAAAAGCATAGGGAAATTATGGAAATTATTATAGTACCATTAAAAGCCGTACGTCTATTCTAAATTCGTGATACTAATATTCTTACAATTAGTTTAATGTGTGAGTACTAGATGCAATCTCTTTACTATGGATCATTTTTCCGCTGACGTATATTTTCTTGTTTTAATAGAAATCACTTCTTCATACGACAGTCTAATTGGATGATCAAAATGAATTATTGTACACTTAGTTAAGCTCTTCCACGAGTAATAAATCTGTGACTGAAATTTTGTATGAACATAACAGATAGGAGACCAAATATAGCGAAAAGTTAAAACGGATAAAAACATTCTTAGTTGATTATGACAAAATATAACGAATATGTGTAATAGCGAATGCAGAAACAAAAGAACGTTGCTGACATTGAATTACATAAAGTTAATGTCTTAAAAAAGAATGCTCATAGGATAAAAATGAATAATGAAATAATTAATGTTGATTACAAAATTCAAAACTCAAAAAATGACTTATTTTTTAGTTTCAAATTAAATCTAAAGATCGCCATTAAAAGAAAATATTATAAACAGAAATATATAGTAATTATGTAAAAAATAATTTCAACTGATATATGATTCTTAAATACAAGCGTTAATATCGTGAAAAGTTAAAAAAAAAATTAACTATTTTTTAAATTGTTTTTGACAAAATAAACGATAAAAGTGTATAATATTAAAACACTTATATGAATAGGTTAAACAATAAGATGTTCGTATTCTTAGTTTGTGAAGTATTATTATGCAACTGCAAAAATTCTATACACAACTTTTCAAATTTTTATGTAGTTTGTATGTATTTCCGATCATTTACACTTCTTGATTGTATTTTTTTGGAAAAAATAAAAAATTGTTAAAACTTATGTATGTATAAAGAAATAATACTTTCATTAATTAAATCCCTTTGTAACATTATAAAAGATAAAAGGCTCACACGATAAAATGTACAGAGTGCTCAAGTGACTTCGATAAAAAATATTTATCGTTAGTGATACGCGGGAATGCTTAAAAATTTATTTAGTTCGAAGAAACACATACTACTGCGAATATTTTTTTCTTTCGAGGTTAAATTTTTTCGTGATTTCAAGATCATCGATGTTTTTTTTTCAAAAAAACACTGCATATTTGTATTATTATATCTTAATAATCGATGTTAAAACAAACCCAACAACCTATAATACTATGACCTTTATCTAACTTCGAGTATGAAAAAATCAAAAATTTTTTTGGGTGATATGAGTAATAAAATAGCTACCAAAAATAGGTTAGTATTGAAAAATTGGTTATAATAAAAATACTCAAAATGATTTCCATTTACTTTTGAGTATGTCTTACTGCGATTTTAGAAGAAACATTCTTGTTGAAACTTTATGATTTCACTCAAGTGAGAGGAATATAACATAAAGTAACATAAACATGTTATGCTATAGAAGTCACGCAGCAACGCCAATTTTTTCAATCTTTGATACTTTCCAAATTTGCTTCCAGTAAGATTGGTGTAAAAATATTTATTGATAATCACTCCGTAGACATTTTATTCGTGTTAGGTGAATGCAAAAGAAACTACAAACGTGCTACTGACAATGAGTTGTATGCAGCAAGATATTCAAAAAGATAATTTAAATGACATATTCTATTTAAACATATGGAAAACTGTTTTCGACGATATAACAACTTCAAATTGCATTGACAAATGTCTAGAAGTAAATGGAAATTATTTTGAATACTTATTACAATAAATTTTTCATTACTAATCTTTCATTGGTTATTGTATTATTCGCATCATTTCCAAATTTTTTATTTTTTTGTACTCAAGATCACATGAAAGTTATGATTTTTGGATCGTTGGATTTCTCTTAATACAATAAGAAATATATATAAATATTTTGTTGCAACAGTATTGTACTGACACCTGCATACCTATCAAATTACATATGATATATTTGTTGTACCATTACAATTGGAAGAAATATTTAGGTAGCCATCTTCAAGTAAATCACTCCATAGAATTATAACTTAAGTACATAATTAATACAATCATATTTGAATTATAACTATTTCTCACTACAAACAGTAATACAATTCATTTTCAAAAGTATGTTGTAAATAACATTGTGGGAATGCAAAAATTATTTTAAAATAAATATTTATTATCAACTAGTAATAAATCTCCAAATAAAAATCCGTTAGATTTGAATCATCTATAGATTCATAGTTCATGCTTAAACGTCGCTGTGAAATAGTCGCGAAAACGTAAAGAATGTATAAATTACATGGAACGAAAGAATGCTGCAGCGTTGGAATGTTGATTTGTGTATGAAACGTTCATAAAAGTGAAAAACGTATAACCAGTATCATGTTCGTCCACTTTTCGCCGTAATGCGTCAATTACGTTAATTCTTTCACGTAGCGTGTACAATTCATCCGCACAAGGATTTATACTTGAGTAACTTAACCTCTCTAAAATACGTTGTTGAGATTTGTATAGAATCCTGAAAAGAATGGCGGTTGGATCGACAAAGGTAGTACAGGTGACAAATATTGCACCTCAAGCAACAAAAGATCAAATGCAAACTTTGTTCGGATACCTCGGAAAAATAGAAGATATTAGATTGTATCCTACTATACGGGATGTCGCAGTACCTGTTCAGTCTCGTATTTGCTACATAAAATTTCACGACCAAGGATGTGTTGCAGTTGCTCAACATATGACAAACACTGTTTTTATCGACCGTGCATTAATTGTGATTCCTTACCAGAATGGAGACATTCCAGATGAACAGAGAGCTCTTGAATTAACAAATAATGGTACAGTTGTTCCAGGTGAGGAAGAATTTTAATTAAATCTGTATCCTATAAATTTGACTATACACTTTTTTGTTTTATATACTTACATAATTTTTCTCTAAATTTTATATTTATTATGTATAAAAAGAAATTCCTTTTTTTTCATAGGTCTTTATCCTTCTGAGCCCAAGTTACCACCAAATGTTGTAAATGCAATAGAAGGAATCCCTCCAAATCATGTTATTACCACTATGGATCCAAAATTAGAGGCAAATGGATTACCGTCATATCCACATTTACCTGGCCATTTAGACAGCAGAAGAATCGAAGAAATAAGGAGAACGCTTGTTCTTGCTAATTTAGAACCATCTGTGACAACAGATCATTTACTAGATTTCTTCAGTAATAATAATGTTGAAGTAAAGTATTTACGTATGTGTACCAGAGATTCAGATACAGAACATTATGCATTAGTAGAACTCTCTGAACAAGCAGCTGTAGTTTCTGCATTATTATTGAATGGAAAATTGCTTATGGATAGACCAATTAAAATTTACCATTCTACCCAAGCAATAGCAAAACCTGAAGCAAAAAGTAATGAAGCAGCACAAAAAGAAATAGAAGAAGCAATGTCTCGAGTAAAGGAGGCTCACAATTTAATTTCAGCTGCAATAGATCCGATGATTGGAATGCTGTCGAAAGATAAACGGAGTCGCAGTGGTTCTCGTAGCCGAAAATCTCGGTCCAGATCGAGAGGACGCAGTAGGCGATCTAGATCGCGTAAAAGATCACGATCCCGACACAGACGTTCACGGTCACGTCACCGGCGAAGATCAAGATCTCGATCGAAACGTTCACGTTCTAAAGATCGTAGACGAAAGTCACCATCTCGTAGAAGAAGCAGTTCTCGTGGTCGACATCGTTCTCGTTCCAGATCCCGGCGTTCACGATCTCGTAGATCTAGATCTAAATCCAAAGATCGGAAAAAGAGATCTCCTCGTCGAAGAAGTCGATCACGATCTCGAAGTAAACGTTCGAAATCAAAATCTAGGAGATCTAGATCTAAATCGAAGTCCAGATCCTCGAAATCGAAATATTCAGAAAAATCGAGAGATAAAGATAAAGAAAGAAGAAGCAAAGATAAATCGGATAATGGTAAAAAGGACGGTGACAAAGGTGATAAAGAAAAGAGTGAAAAAAAATCTAGTAAAGAAAAAAAGTCAGAAAAAGAATCTAAGTCCGAAGAGAAGAATAGAAATACATCAGAAAATAGCGAAACCAAGGAGAAAACAGAGTCTGAAACCTAAACCTTAATAAATTACGGTCTATAAAGATTTATTTACGCCTCTCGATCATTTTGTTATTTTAATGTTACGATATATCGTAATGTATTGATCAATAAAAAAATACAAGAATATTAAATTTTCAAAGATCCTTTTGGCTTGTATGTACACGAAAAATGCATATGTTGATGATACAGTTGTAATAACATAAATGATACAAATATCTACATTATTATATTTTAATTCCTTGCCTAATTTTTAACGAATTTAATAATGAATAAGAATACGGATATTTTATAATCTTAATTTTCCCTTTAAAATTGCTTGAGATATGTATAAAGTATGTTTATTACATAAGATTTAATTCTAAATATTTGATATATTTTACATGTTACATACATCTTTTTAAACTTTATAATAATGTAGAAAATGATTAAATCAAACATACACAATTTCAAATTATCTTATTTCGAAAATATTATCTAAAAATTTGTTCTTACTTACATAAAGTGATTATAATCTTGTTACACTTATTGAGATTATATTTAAACCAAAAACTGTTCTTATTTTTAAAAATTGTTTTCATTTTTAAAAATGTTGTATTATAATTTTTATTATTATATTATAATATGTTATAATAAATTACACTAAATTAAACACTAAATTTAATGTTTTTAGTTTTTCTCTTTGTATTGTTTTGAAACATGCGCCATTTATTTGGGGGCAGCACTAACTAGTAATTGAGGCACCGATGATTATTGCAATTTCCTTTCAATAACTTTTTGTATTCCTTGGTTAAAAGCAATAGCAAATCATGGTATTATAATGTACAAGATATTTTAAGTGACAGATAAATGAATCTACTTAATTTAGTTAATTATAGATTGAATAAACTTTTAACGATAGAATAAATTGAAATTAACATTTGATTATATAAATGTAAACTTGACAATAGCATAAGTTCGAAGTTTTCATGTACCACGTAAGATAACATAGTAATATAATTGTCTTGTAAAGTGTTCATAAAATTTTAAGAAATTGTGGTGCGTAACATCGATAAGAAAATATTCGTACATTAAAAGATATTTTATTTTTTTTTACATTCAGTCATACTAAAATACAAGGTTAAATGGTGAAGATGACATCTCTAGACGATGTGAAAATAAAACAATGTTTATCAAAGGTATATATTATATATATATTTTTTTTTTCATATATATATATATTACTGTTACTTTTAACCTACTCTAGAGTTACATTTATAAAACATTATCTTCTAGTATCAAAATCCTGAGCTCACCAAGAAACATGGCCTAAAAGTTCTGGGTCTTTATAAGGGCTTAATGTGTAATGTAGAACCATTTGGTGAGTATTAAAAACGTAACTTTTTATTAAATATTTCTATTTTGTATCTTGCTAATTTTAATAATATATGAAAAATATAAGGAATATTAATTAATTTATTTATTTCTATTGTAATTTTCCACATAAAAGTATTTAATGATGGTTCAATGAAAGAGTTACTCAATCTACAAGGAACAATTCCAGTTTCATACAAAGGTAATGTAATTTTACACTTTTATGAAGAACAATTAGTCAAATACAAGTGAATTTTTATATTATTTGCATATTTTTAGGTCATATATATAATATTCCTATATGCATATGGATCATGGATACACATCCTAATAATGCACCTATGTGTTTTGTTAAACCTACTGCTGATATGAGCATTAAAGTGAGCATGTATGTTGATCATAATGGAAAAATTTATTTACCATATCTCCATGATTGGTTACCAGTGAGTAATTTATATATACATAGCTGTATACTATTATCTGTGCCCTATAATGTTATTATACCATAGCATAATATATATTTTTATTATGTGTAGTATTCATCAGACTTACTTCGTCTGATCCAAACAATGATTTCAACATTTGGAGAGCAACCTCCTGTTTATGCTAAAATACGACAAGGTAAACAAACAAGTTCTACACCTTACCCAGTACAACGTAAGTTACATTATTTATATTTATTTACATAGTTTGCATTTACAAATTACTTGTATTATTTTAAAATTTCCTTATGAAATATCCTAATTTTAAAACATACAAATTTATATAGCTTTCATGCCTGTACCTGGAAGCGAAACACATTTACCTGGTTCTAATTTTCTACCATATCCACAAAACTCACAGTATGCAGGTGGGAGTAATAATTATCCTCCATATATGTCAACAACATCTTCTGGATTTCCATACCCAGGGTCATATGGTTCATATGGAGGAACTGCATCAAATTATCCACCACAAAGTTGTACTGGTTCATTTCCATACCCTCCATCAACACAACCAGTAAGTTATGATTTTTAACAAGTGATATTTGTATATTCAATCTAGGTATCTAATTTTGTTTTAATGATTTCCAAGTCTCCAACAGTACCTGTCACTGCTGGTGCATCAGGTACAATCACAGAAGAACATATTAGAGCATCTTTGTTGTCAGCAGTAGAAGATAAATTAAAACGAAGACTTAATGAACAGTTTTCACAATTGTTAGACGAGCTGGAAACGTTATATCGAACACGACAAGAAATTACAAATGGAACTATTCATCTTAACGATTTATTTGACAGATTAAAAAAAGAAAATACTGAACTTGAAAAGAACATAACTATACTTCAAGATAAGGAAGCAGAATTGGAAAAAGAAATTGCCAAGCTTTCTGATAATCAGTCAATAGACGTCGATGAAGCTGTTACAACAATCGCACCACTTTACAAGCAGTATGTATTTAAACAATTACTTATTTTTTCACGTCTTTGGATATCATAATTGTTTTTTAAATAATTGTAGGATGTTAAATGCATTTGCGGAAGAAGCAGCAACAGAAGATGCTATATACTATTTGGGTGAAGCTTTACGTTGTGGTATTATAGATTTAGATGCATTTTTAAAGCAAGTACGACAACTTTCACGCAAACAATTTATGCTAAGAGCGCTTATGCAACGCTGTCGTCAGAAAGCGGGATTGGCTGGTTAAACATTTTACCCAATTTTTATAAGGTTACGCTATTCAATATTTTATTTTATTACAAATGATGTACGCAAAACAGACTATAATAAATCCCACAATAATAGAGGGATAGATATATGTTATAGAGACGAAGCATCCTCGTTAAAAAAATTGTACGCTCTATATATATATATATATTTATTTATTTATTTATATAAATATATATACATATATACAGTAATGTATTTTTGTTTCATGTTGTATACATTCTGTTTATAACAAAGAAGTTGAATGTAAAGCTTTCATATATAAAACTGAATAAAACACACGTGACATATATCACACACAAAAAACATAAATACAAGCGAACAAATAAATGAAGGTTTAAGCAATTATATTAAAAATAAATATCTTTGTTTTATCAAATTATATTTCTAAATGTAATGTATTTAAAAATATGTAAAAAGTATGTAATTTTTAATTGATTTTTTATATTATAAAAAAATCGTGTACCTCAAACAGCGATCTTAGATATTAAGAAATACAAATGCTTATTTACTGTGTAATAAATGTATAAATTGATCACTACATTGCACAATTTAGTAAAAATACATTGTTTCTATTCTTATGACATAGAATTATTATATAATTACTTAAATGCTATTGTAGATAAAATTAATCTTGATTTTTGATAAGATTAATCTGAAACAAAAAAGGTAAGACTTATACAAATAACTAAAGTAGGTTTTAATTTTATTGATTAAAACTTTTGCAGAGTAATATACCTATACATAAATTCCAACACAAAGCAGTAGAAATAATATACCAAAACCAGAAAATATTGCAGCCACTAGAGAAATTAATAATTCTTTGAATATATCCCTTGTAAATTTTGTGCTAGTGACTTCATATACAAAGAACCATGCTGTAAAAAATATTCCAATTCCTAATAACACCACTGCCAATAATGGAAAAATTGCAGGATTTATGGGAGAGACATATCTTGTCATAGACTCGATTTCCACCTAAATTAAAACAATAAAAAGAATTTATAAAAAAATCTAAATTTTTTTTATTTATTTAATGTATATAAAAATGATTATGTATATTGCTTCTGGAAATTCTTTATATATTATAAAAATTCTCTTGCAAATTTCACAATAAAAAATAATATATAGTTTTAATTATGAAATAAAAAAGAATTCGTTATATTACAACAGAAGGATACAAAGAAAATAATGAAAAGTAAAATTCGTATAAATACACATATTATCAATTTAATAAAAATATAATTTTATGTTAACAAATTTTCGGAAATGTACACTTTCAGTTAAAAAATGTTGAAATAAAATCTTAGAAAATTATAATTAAATTACAACATTAAATACTACACTAAATATAATAAATTAATAATACTTGATAATATTACTAACGTAAATTCTTTCAATAAATTAATATTACTTACCATTGTATCAGATAAATATTTTGACGTGGCTTAAAAGAGACGTAAAACTTACATTCAGTTACCGATCAGTATGCAATCGTATGCTGCAAACTTCAGTAAGACGTATATTCATGAAAAGAGTAAATAGAAATGGACTACCAATAGACAAAATATAAATAACTCAAATTTCTGAAGAAGACAGTAAATTTGTAGTATCTTGAAATATTAACAAAATGAATCAAAAAAGTCTTTATTTATATTGACGTACAGTTTATTATTTTATTATCTATCAATGTTATAGGAAATAATAATTGAAAAAATAATTTGTATAAAATAATTTTTATATCTCTAAACCTAGAATATAATATTAAATTTTATATTAAAAACCCTTTATTACTGCTGACACTTTTGCAGATTATAATAATTAACAATTTTGAAGAGTATATAACTAATGATGTGTAAGATAAGCGTGATATAATTTATGAATACTTTTTAAACGAAATTTTATTTTTGTAACAAGTATCTATTGGAGGTAAGTCTATTTTCAACAAAAATTATATTTTTTTATATTGTATATTTAAAGTATATTTCATATAAATTCTTTCTTTTTTACATAAT